GCACAACAGCAGAGCAGCAGCAGCAGGTACAACAAGAGCAGCAGCAGCAGGTACAACAAGAGCAGCAGCAGGTACAACAAGAGCAGCAGCAGCAGGTAGAACAAGAGCAGCAGAAGCAGGTAGAACAAGAGCAGCAGAAGCAGGTAGAACAAGAGCAGCAGCAGGTAGAACAAGAGCAGCAGCAGGTACAACAAGAGCAGCAGCAGCAGGTACAACAAGAGCAGCAATAGCTGCAGCTCATGCACGACTTAACACAGTAACATCAAATGTTGTTCTGCCATAGTTTTCCAGTTCACTGGTCTGGAAGACCCATCGAAAAACTCTGACAAATTCATCACTATATTTCCCCTTCCAGTTCCTGAAAAGTATTTTTAAGGGTCTAAAAAAAATCATTGACAAATTATTTTTGGGCTGAGAGCACTGTTGCAGCAACAGCGCTGGAGCTTGAAGCACAATGGCAAGGGGAAGCAATTCATCTCAACAATGACCCGGCCGTAACTAGCATCCAGGGCGTCGATGACCTCGTTACGGTCGTTAGCGCAAATCACCGTTCATGATGAAGTTGCATCGTTCCATTACTTGGGTAGACTCGTTACCCAGGCTGGAAGGACCCTCGGATTCCAGCGCCTTAATTCCTCTCATACCTCTGGAAAATAAGGAATCCTGGAACTCCAAAATTTCAGGATTCGGGAAAGTGTGAAATTACAGACAATTTTAAAGTTATGAAAAATGTAGGATATAAAAGTGGGGGAATTCTGGAATCTATACAGATGAAGAGACAGGTTCCATGGGATTTGGAAACTGGAAATTTTGAACAGAAACATGCTTCAGATTTCGGAATATCGCACTTAAAAGAATATTATAATTAAGAGAATAATATCATTCTTGAAAGAAAATAAGTTCTCGTCTCTATAAAACATTCAAATTCTATACGACAAAACAGGCGAAAAGGTGATAAGATATTTCAATTCATTAGAGAATGTTTAATACAACTTTATTTCTTTTTGCTTTCCTGAAATATAATAGAAAGGAAATCGAAATTCCAGAATCGCGACGTCTTATAAACCAGAGAGTATGGGAAATAGTAATCACTGACATACTGGAAACTTGTGAAGTCAACAACCATACAATACTGGAACTCTTAATAAACCTCGTCATATAAAACTTCCAAAATAACATGGACCTCTGAACTTTAGTATCCTGGAGCCCCTGGACCCTTTGGAGCCCCTGAAGTCACTAGGGTCCCTGAACTCACTAGGGTCCCTGAAGTCACTAGGGTCCCTGAAGTCACTAGGGTCCCTGAAGTCACTAGGGTCCCTGAACTCACTAGGTCCCTGAACTCACTAGGGTCCCTGAACTCACTAGGGTCCCTGAACTCACTAGGGTCCCTGAACTCACTAGGGTCCCTGAACTCACTAGGGCCCCTGAACTCACTAGGGTCCCTGAACTCACTAGGGTCCCTGAACTCACTAGGGTCCCTGAACTCACTAGGGCCCCTGAACTCACTAGGACCCATGAACTCACTAGGGTCCATGAACTCACTAGGGCCCCTGAACTCACTAGGACCCATGAACTCACTAGGGCCCCTGAACTCACTAGGGTCCCTGAACTCACTAGGGCCCCTGAACTCACTAGGACCCATGAACTCACTAGGGTCCATGAACTCACTAGGGCCCCTGAACTCACTAGGACCCATGAACTCACTAGGGCCCCTGAACTCACTAGGGTCCCTGAACTCACTAGGGTCCCTGAACTCACTAGGACCCCTGAACTCACTAGGACCCCTGAACTCACTAGGACCCCTTGGACCCTTTGGAGCCCCTGAACCCACCAGATTCATGTATTCAGTGGGTCAAAGTCACGCCTGAAAAACAATGACAAGGATTCAAAAATTCGAACAGTAAAAAGAAATCTGAATTAATCCTTACGACGAGAAAATAGACGAGATACATTACGACGAGAATAAATCCTTACGACGAGATAGACGAGAAAATGTGATAAAGTTCCTAAAGAAAGGTTAGAGTACAAGAAGCAGACTGGGATAGCTGGGAAGACAGTGGACTGGGTAGAGGACTGCTTGAAGGACAGGAAAGGATAGGTTGGAGTGAGACAGGTGTCGAGGAGGAGGGATGCCACAAGTGAGGTCCCACAAGGCTCTGTCTCGGGACCATTGCTGTTCCTGATGTACATGAATCACCTTCCCGAAGAAGCGAATTCTTACATGTCAATGTTTGCAGGTGACGCAAAGCTAAGGAGGAATGTAAAACCTAAGGAGGATTACAGAAAATTCCAAGAGGAATTCAAGAAACTACGAATGACGAGACAAATGGCAGTTAGAATTCAATCCCAACATGTGCAAGATAATAACGGCAGGGAAGAAAGAAAGCAGACCAGGCGGGATCTACCCAACAAGGGAAAGACTACTATAAGTATCGGAAAGTAGAATGAGTTATGAGTGGGTGTAATTCCAGTTACAGTACCAGAGGTACACACAGACACGGTGACATCGGCAGCACTTGCAACGCTAAAAAAAACATCATAAAACCATTTAAAAAGTTAATGACGACTTTTTCAAGGCAAGCTGCACAACCTATGTCAGACCAATACTGGAACATGCAGCACCAACCTGAAATCCATACGGAACGAATTATAAAACAAAAATAATAATCGCTTCATTTACGCAGAGAGAAAATATGATGTGAGGAAACAGGTGGAAGCGAAAAACACAACTGAGGAGAGGAAATATGAGGAAATACTGTCATTCTGTAATGGTGGTCAGCTCGTGGGTTGGACTGTAGGAGGTTGTGGAAGCCACCTCCATCCACACACTTAAAGCCTGATTTGATAAAGAATTACAACGTCAGAACACTTCAACTATAACATAATATCAACCCATCTTCGTGTTTACAGAGTACTTATTGTATGGAGACCATCGTCCATATATTGACGTAAAAGGCAATTAAATAGTTGAATTTGGTACTATTCACTTTATAGTCTGAAAAAATAATGATAAAAAATACTTATATATTGCTGGGTCTAATATAGCACATATATGTACTATTTTAGGTCTTAGATAGCGTGTAGTAGGCCTTGGAAGGTTGGGTTAGGTTAAATTTTCTGTCACAAAAATATGAAATCTTTTCCGATTTGTCCAAATTCAGTAATAGAGATTTCTACTTTCTAATAGTCTATTTACGTCTATATGTGTACTATGGTCCTCATGGTTCCTATAAGTACTGCCTAAACGGTATGACGGGCCTCACAATACTGGCACCAAGGCTAATAGACGCGGTGTAAATATATCTATAGGCCTCACTACCCCGTAGTAACTTATAGGTGACTACTGGTTTGGTACCACCTCCCACCTGCCCTCCCACCTGCCCTCCCACCTGTCCTCCCACCTGTCCTCCCACCTGTCCTCCCACCTGCCCTCCCACCTGCCCTCCCACCTGTCCTCCCACCTGCCCTCCCACCTGCCCTCCCACCTGCCCTCCCACCTGCCATCCCACCTGTCCTCCCACCTGCCCTCCCACCTGTCCTCCCACCTGCCCTCCCACCTGCCCTCCCACCTGTCCTCCCACCTGCCCCTCCCACCTGCCCCTCCCACCTGCCCCTCCCACCTACCCTCCCACCTGCCCCTCCCACCTACCCTCCCACCTGCCCTCCCACCTGTCCTCCCACCTGCCCTCCCACCTGCCCTCCCACCTGCCCTCCCACCTGCCCTCCCACCTGTCCTCCCACCTGCCCCTCCCACCTGCCCCTCCCACCTGCCCTCCCACCTGCCCCTCCCACCTGCCCCTCCCACCTACCCTCCCACCACCTGTCCTCCCACCTGCCCTCCCACCTGTCCTCCCACCTACCCTCCCACCTACCCTCCCACCACCTGTCCTCCCACCTGCCCTCCCACCTGTCCTCCCACCTACCCTCCCACCTACCCTCCCACCACCTGTCCTCCCACCTACCCTCCCACCTACCCTCCCACCTGCCCTCCCACCTACCCTCCCACCTGCCCTCCCACCTACCCTCCCACCTACCCTCCCACCTGTCCTCCCACCTACCCTCCCACCTGCCCTCCCACCTGTCCTCCCACCTACCCTCCCACCTACCCTCCCACCACCTGTCCTCCCACCTACCCTCCCACCTACCCTCCCACCTGCCCTCCCACCTACCCTCCCACCTGCCCTCCCACCTACCCTCCCACCTACCCTCCCACCACCTGTCCTCCCACCTACCCTCCCACCTACCCTCCCACCTGCCCTCCCACCTACCCTCCCACCTACCCTCCCACCTACCCTCCCACCTACCCTCCCACCTACCCTCCCACCTGCCCTCCCACCTACCCTCCCACCTACCCTCCCACCTACCCTCCCACCTACCCTCCCACCTACCCTCCCACCTACCTGTCCCACCTACCCTCCCACCTACCCTCCCACCACCCACCTGTCCTCCCACCTACCCTCCCACCTACCCTCCCACCTGCCCTCCCACCTACCCTCCCACCTACCCTCTCCCACCTGTCCTCCCACCTACCCTCCCACCTGCCCTCCCACCTACCCTCCCACCTGCCCCCCCACCTACCCTCCCACCTGCCCTCCCACCTACCCTCCCACCTACCCTCCCACCTGCCCTCCCACCTACCCTCCCACCCTCCCACCCCTCCCACCTGCCCTCCCACCTGTCCTCCCACCTGCCCCCCCACCTGTCCTCCCACCTACCCTCCCACCTACCCTCCCACCTGCCCTCCCACCTACCCTCCCACCTGCCCTCCCACCTACCCTCCCACCTGCCCTCCCACCTGCCCTCCCACCTGCCCTCTCACCTACCCTCCCACCACCTGTCCTCCCACCTACCCTCCCACCACCTGTCCTCCCACCTACTGTCCCACCTACCCTCCCACCTGCCCTCCCACCTACCCTCCCACCTACCCTCCCACCTACCCTCCCACCTGCCCTCCCACCTACCCTCCCACCTACCCTCCCACCTACCCTCCCACCACCCCTCCCCCACCTGCCCTCCCACCTGCCCTCCCACCACCTGCCCTCCCACCTGCCCTCCCACCACCTGTCCTCCCACCTGCCCTCCCACCTGTCCTCCCACCTACCCTCCCACCTGCCCTCCCACCTGCCCTCCCACCTACCCTCCCACCTACCCTCCCACCTGCCCTCCCACCACCTGTCCTCCCACCTGCCCTCCCACCTGCCCTCCCACCTGCCCTCCCACCACCTGTCCTCCCACCTGCCCTCCCACCTGTCCTCCCACCTACCCTCCCACCTGCCCTCCCACCTGCCCTCCCACCTGCCCTCCCACCTACCCTCCCACCTGCCCTCCCACCTGCCCTCCCACCACCTGTCCTCCCACCCTCCCACGTGCCCTCCCCCTACCCTCCCACCTACCCTCCCACCTGCCCTCCCACCTACCCTCCCACCTACCCTCCCACCTACCCTCCCATAAGGTCATGAGGTGAGGTTTGGTCGTAAATCAGGTCATCACATTTTATTAACAATTCAAGCGGGTCATTAGCATCGTTTGCGGTGGCAGGTGTGCCTGACTAACGAGACAGGTGTCAGAGATGAGATGTCGCTATCACACGATATCTTAAAGATAAGAGGCTGCCAGGAAGAGTCTCAGGCATAGCTCCTCACATATCTCTAATGCTCTGTGATGCTCAGGAAAGCATCAGGAGTCAGAATATATAGAACCAATGAGTGCTCATGCTCCTGTGTACACGCTTCATTAGCAGTGCTCCTGTGTAGGGGCTGTGCACTATCATAGACTCGAACACATGTTCCAGTGAACACGTTCCTCGTTCTCGTCACCCCCGGAGAGACAGGCGAGGCTGGAGGGTACGCAGCAGGAGAGTAGTTCACGG